CTTCTTCTTCTTCTTCTTCTTCTTCTTCTTCTTCTTCTTCTTCTTCTTCTTCTTCTTCTTCTTCTTCTTCTTCCTCTCCTCCTCCTCCTCCTCCTTCTCCTCCTCCTCCTTCTCCTCCTCCTCCTTCTCCTTCTTCCCCTTCCCCTTCCTCTTCTTCTTCCTCTTCTTCTTCTCCTCCTCCTTCTGTACAATGGTGTTTTGCCTGCGTATATATGTGTTTGAGGGTGTCAGGTACTGGAGTTACAGACAGTTGTGAGCTCCCATGTGGGTGCTGGGAATTGTAATGGGTCCCCTGGAAGAACAGCCAGGGCTCTTAACCATTGACCCATCTCTCCAGCCCCAGCACATTACTTCTTGAAGAGAAAATGGACATCACTCCTTAGAATGCAGACAAGATCCCATTAGGCTAGGAGTGGCACCCCACACCAACCATCCAGGTACTTGATAGGCAGGAGGTTCACAAGTTTGAGAACAACCTAAACTACATGGTAATGGATTTAACTCCATTTAAAAAGAAAGGAAGGAAGGGAGAAAGAGGGGGCGGGTCTGGTCTTTGCTGAGAGAACAGTGATGACATTAACTCAGACAGCAGGTCCCAAAGGATCTCGGAAACTATTCCTAACCATGTAAGCAAACAGAACCATAAACTAGGGAAGAGAAATAGAGAACAAGAACTGAGTGGGGTTAACACTGCCACCTGCACTCTGAACCTGCAGAGCAACGTGTACAGGTGTGTGCACGTTTGTGATGAAAGACTAGAGATAGGCCTCTGTGTCCCTGCTCAGCATATATAGATGCTAGTCATAACTTCAAAGCAATTCTCTGATTAACTGCAGTGTGGTCCATAAAGTTGTTTGTAGTGTAAGAATAGACTTTTGACTTTTATAATGGTGCTGGGGACCAGACCCAGAGCTTCATGAAGGCTGTGTAAGTGGTCCACCGTTGCACTTCAATTTTCAGGGTTGCCGCTAAGAGTTATACGTTCTTGTCAAAGGACAAAATGACAGTTTGTTTTAAGATCTTTGTTGATTTTATTTTCAGTTCTGGAATCAACCAATGCTTCATCCCATGAAAATTAGCTTCTAATGGACTGAGCAAGAACACCTGCAGGAGCTGAGGCTAGGAAGCTAATAAAGACGGGGTGGGTGGTGTTTCTTTTTTTGTCCTGTTTTGTTTTTTCCATTTTTTGCAAGACAAGTTTCCTCTGTGTAACCCTGGCTGTCCTGGAACTTACTCTGCAGACCAGGCTAGCCTCTAACTCAGAGATCTGCCTGCCTTTCCCTCCCTAGTGCTGGGATTAAAGGTGTGAGCCACCAGGCCTAGCTTTAATAAAGATGATTTAACACAGATTTAAGCATGAGGATTAAGAGAGAAAGGCGCTCAGAAGAAAGCAACATATCCTAAAGAATGGGTGAGAGTCTTGGGCAAAATCCTGTTTATCTAAACAGGAAGAGACTGCTGGCAGCTGGAACGGAACAGAAAGCTAGTCTTTCCAAGTCGCTTTCCTCATCAGGTGTGGGCAGGCATACAGAAGTATGGGGGAGAAAGGGCTTGGCTAGCATCAGATTGTTCCAGATGACTTCTTGGAGTAAGAGTTAAAACAGAGGATTAGTCACTGCCAAGAATGCTAGCAGAAGCTGGCCTATTGGGTCTTTGTGGTGTCACCTTAATAATCCCGATTTCTCAGGGGATAAAATAAGCAATATGGTTTTGGCTTGGTTGGTGTGGAAGATTTTACTCAGATTTTTAGTCTACTTTTGTTGGAGTCCAGAGCAGGACCTAAGTCCAAAACAGTAACGCCCTACATTTTTCATTTAACAGCTTGAATTAGTTCTCACAAGGAAAAAAAAAGATCTTCTAACTAGTAAGTTATACTCTGCAATACCAGAAATATGTGATGAAGCCAGGAATGGTTTTGTTCTCCACAGAGTCTGGATGAGAGAGACACAACTGTGTAAGCAGAATCACGCAAGGCTCATCATTTGCGTATAAACTGAGGACATGACTGCTC